AAGCTATGACAAACCTTGACAGCATTTTAAAAAGCAGAGACATCACTTTGCCAAAAAAAGTCCATATAGTCAAAGTTATAGGTTTTCCAGTAGTCATGTATGCATGTGAGAGTTGGACCATAAAGAAGGCTAAGCACTGAAGAATTGATGCTTTCCAAGTGTGGTGTTAGAGATGGCTCTTGAGAATCCCTTGGACTGCAAGGAGATCAAATCAGTCAATCCTAGGGGAAATCAACACTGAATATTCACTGGAAGGACTGATGCTGAAGCTGAAGCTCCAGTACTTTGGCCACCTGATGCAAAGAGCTGACTCATTGGAAAAAGACCCTGATGCTGGGAAAGATTAAAGGTAAATGGAGGAGAAGATGACAGAGGATGAGATGGTTGAATTGCATCACCGACTCAATGGACATGAGTTTGAGCAAGCTCCAGGAGATGGTGAAGGACAGGCCAGCCTGGAGGGCTGAAGTCCATGGGGTTGCAAGGAATCAGACATGACTTAGTGACTGAATAACAACACATACTGAATCCTGACTGGGACCAGGCCATGATCTAAATACTTTTAGGTGTATAATCTTCTTTATCTGAACAGTAACCCTACAGAGTATGAAGCACTGTTAGCCCCACCTCATAGCTAGTGACAGAGTGGGGATTCAAACTCATCCCTCCAAATACAGACCCTTCATCACTGCACCATTTTCCTTCTTTTATCCTGAAGAAAAGAAAATATCTCTTACCAAAGAACCAACTTGGTAAAATCACACCACGTTGGCCTTTTAAAAAATATTATTTTTATTTCTTTGGCTATTTCAGATCTTAGGGCTTCTCAGGTGGCAAAGTGGTAAAGAATCTGCCTGCCAATGCAGGAGACCCAAGACATGTAGGTTTAATCCCTGGGTCAGGAATATCCCCTGGAGAAGGAAATGGCAACCTGCTAAGGTATTCCTGCCTGGAAAATTCCATGGACAGGGAAGCCTGGTCCACAGGGTTGCAAAAAAATTGGCCATGACGGAGCACACACAAAAGCACTGGCTACATACTGGCTCTGTAGGGTCTTACTTGTGGCTCGTGGGATCTTTAGTTGTGGCATGTAGGATCTTAGTTCCCTAACCAGGGATCGAACCCAGGCCTCCTGCACTGGAAGCAAGCAGTCTTAGACACTGGAACTCCAGGGAAGTCCTCATACCAAGTTATTTTAGAACTAAGTCCAAAGAAGTAAACAGCTCTGTTTTCCTGCTTTCATATAATGATGTAACTTTCCATATATGTTGTGTGTGCTAAACTGTTAGCGTGTGTATATATAACCATACCTCACCTATGTTGGTGGCAGTGAAGGAGTGAAATATTTCTGAAATCTCTTAATGAAGAGCTGACATTAATATTTTTAATTAATTAATTAATTTGGCAAGGGGCTAGAGCACACCCTACTGGCCAGCTCATGGGAAATACAGCATTTACTTGGAAGAAAATGTCATGTTAAAATTTGAAGATAAAAATCAGATTAGTGTTTCAAAGAAATTTGAAAAAAATTGTCTTATAAAAATCTATACATTAATGTATCTATGGGACAATAAAAAAGGTTTCAAGTTCTAGAAATGGGATAAAACTAGAACTATAATAACTGCCAATAGCATCAAATGTTTGTTAAGGGAGCATTAAATGAAAAAGTGGCCCAGTTAAAAGAAAAGTATACAAACAGCCCTCCAAAACTCATACTAAGCAAAGACAGGTAAGCCCTGGCCCTAACACTTAAACCAGTAGACAGATAAATTAAAACCAGCCTGTTTGGTCTTTTCCCAGGCTGAATATACTGCATAAATATATATATATATATATATATATATATATATATAGAGAGAGAGAGAGAGAGAGAGAGAGAGAAAGCTAAGAAGGTGAAGTAATATCCTTCATTAATATCCCTGGGGAAAATGGAAGTTGTAAAGAAAATCTTTTTCTGTGAAACTTCAAATGACTGCTAAATTTGAAAGCTCCATGCAGACTTTGATTCAATGAGGCAACCCTCATGGGTGAATCTCAGCCCTTATCAGTGTGAGTGTCTAAAATAATCCACAAAGTTTATTGGAAATACTGTATAAATATATATATATATATATATATATATATATATATATATACTTTATATTTCCAATACATATATATGTGCATGTATCTATGTGTGTGTGTGTGCCCAGATGTTTCCAAAACATAAAGTGACAACTAAACAAATGACCTATATGAAATGCAATTCTTTTAGTGTCATGTATTTTTTAGTTGCACACATCTATAAATTAGTTTTTTGAAAGTGCATATCTACATATATCATGAATAGAAAAGGCTCTAGGACTAAGCAGGTGATGCAGAAAGTGTCTCACTTTAAAATATGTCTCTATAAACAAGTCAAAATACAAAAACATCTGTAATCAAGATGAATAAATGCCAAATTGTGATCCTCTTCTACAGGATTCATGTAATATCAAAACAGAAATTCAGAAGGGTTGCAAGGCCCCTCTCTGGCACAATGTGAGCTTACACACGACTTGCGAGGATGCTGGGAGAGGACAGACAGGAACATTGTCCTCACGAAAGTAGAGATCGTGATCCTAAGATTTCTCAGCCAGAACCTCCCCCTGTTCTTACTCCAAGGACAGCCTCTTCTTACTCTGAAAGAAGCACAAATGCAAAGTGACAATCTGGGTCAATGTGATATAAGTCTAATGTTCTAGATGCTATGTTTAGAATCTTTTATATTAAATAACATCAGATAATATAAATTCCTTGGGAGATGACCTCAAAATTAGATGGATTTGGAGAGATGTGAAAAAACATCCTGACTTTAAATTTTTTCCTTACTGGAGAAAATTTAAAACATGCTAGATTCAGTACAAAGAAGGTACTTTTCCCCCTAAACCTCTAGACTAGTGTTCTAATCTGTGAAAAGTCACCAAATGATCACTTGATAAACACAAAAGGCTCATTTCAACTTGCTTAGCATTTTCTTTTAAACTCTTCCCCAAATATTCCACAGTATTATTGACATGCTAGTGCTATTATAAAATATCATTAATAGAGTCTTAGATAAAGGATTTGTGGGGTTAAGCCTTCTCATGTAATCCATCCACAGCTGAGAAAGCCATATTATGTGAATATCATTATAAGCAAAATTCAGTAAGCCATCAGCTATAACTCGTTTTTCCTCCAAAATGAATAAATCAAAATGTTTATTTTGGGGAGGGGGATAAATTAGGAGTTTGGAACTAAAATATACTCATTATATCTAAAATAGATAATCAACAAGAGCCTACTGTATAGCACAGGAAACTATATTCAGTATCTTATAATAACATATAATAGAAGAGAATGTTAAAAAAATAATACATATATATATAACTGAATCACTTCGTTGTATTTCTGAAACTAACACTACATTGTAGGTCGACTCTATTTCAATAAAGAAAAAATTTTAAGATGTTTATTTTGCAAGTTTTAAAAAGATTAGAAGAAAAAAATTGGATTCATGAGGAATGACTCCTGTGATTTTGTGGGTTGTATTTTTTTTTATAATTTACCAAAACATTAGCTCCTCATTCGGCTCCCAGCTCCCAACCCTATAGTGAGTATCCTGTTGATCTTCTTTCTCCAAAGAAGGGGTGTGTTTGATGGTTGCTCTAGTGATTATCACTGTTTAATGAATGGGAGAATGTAAAAGCTCGCCAATAAGGCCAAAGCACAAATTACAGCTGTATTGTGGTGAGTTGAAATAGTGCAACTAGGGTTCCTTTTGGGTGAAACTTGAGCTCAGCTAAGTCCCCATTCATTAAATGCTGGACTGTGAGGTCTGAAAAGACGTTCTCTGGCAAGTTCTGTTGATCCCTTTTTTACACTGATAATTGTTGTATGGGTAAGCTGTAAACTTCAGTGAAACCAAAATGGGGGGGGGGGTGGGGGGGTGGGGTGGAAATCTGTGTAACTGAATCAAAAAACCTAGTTGATTCGGTAAAAAAGTTAGCGATTAGTTATGCCTAATTGCCATCATTTCCTAAAATAATACCAAATGGCAATAAGAAAACTTAACAGATGGAACAGCTGAACTGTTGATAAGCAGCCTAGACATGAAAATGACCCAAGAAAATGACCCAAAGGAGCCCATCAAAATGGGGGGATAGAGTTCTCTTGGCTAAATATCTTGCACATAAAAGAGTTCTGTTTTCTTGTTTTATCTTTCTTTTTTTTTTTTGGTGTTTAAGGCCTTGAATTCAAAATTAGGCCTCTGAATTAAATTTAAAAGAAAGTAAATAACAGTGCCGAGAAAGCAAATCATTTCATGCAGTGTAAAGTTAATAGTTAACCTGATAATGAGGTCGCAATCTCATTCCATATGTTAAACTACCCCAATTAGGCAGCGCTAAATGTCTAACTACCCGGCATTACTTGCTGAAATGCAAAACGGTCTCTGCAGAAGAGACCAAAAAGGTCGGCAGGAGGTCTCTGGCCTCTACTCAACAGAGTACCATTCAGGGGATTTGTTCTAGTTAAAACTGGAGGGTTTCTGTCTGTTTGCTTTTTTTCTTACTTTAGTTACTCTTGGTTTGTTATCATTTGTATTATTTATTTTACGGTTAAACTATAAGCCTAAGTTGCATCACTGGCGCCCTGAGAAACCTCCTCCCGCCGGCTCACTGGTGTTATGTCCTTGGACATCAGTGGCTGCCCTGATGCCAAGAGATGTTGAGGTCTGTGTGGGTCTATTATGTAAAACAAGAGATTGGAACTCAAGTGGACACCGGGTTGAGGGTGGGGGACACCTTCTGGAAGCCCATGGGCAGCCCTATCCGGGTCAATAGCCAACCGGGCCTGGCCTCCATGTGCAGACGTGTGGTCAGAGGAGAGATGGCCAGACACCCTCACGAACGTGGCCTCGCTGACTCTCGCTGTCTCACACTGTGCCACTCTGCCCACTCTATCCTCCAATGCCCCGCTCTGTCCTTCCTTATCTTGCGCAGACCCTTGATGCCCCGCGCTGTCCCTCCAACGCCTCGGCCCGCGGGCCTCGTGGTGAGCGCGGGTCCTGCAGGCGGGAGATGCGCTCCCCCAACCCCCGCCTCCCCAGGCCGGCCCGCAGAAGCTCCGCTCGCCTCCCCGAGGTGCCCTCGGCCCACCCACGCAGCCCGCGGACCGAGGAAGAGAAAACCCTCCGCAGGGCTGCAAACGTAGGAAACCCCGTGCGAGGCATGGCGCCGCCTTTGGTTCGCGCAGGAACCGCTGCCGAGGCCGGGCGGCCTGCAGTCTTCAGAGGAAGATTCAGAGGAAGGAGTGCCCGGAGCTGGGCAGCGGCCTCCAGGATTCGGCAGATCAGGGACGTCCGGGCCTCAGCCGGCCAAAAACACGTCCCTCGGGAGACAAAGACTGCTTCCCTGGCGAGGGGCCACCCGACGCCAGTGGACCCCACGCGAGCACCTAGACCGCGACATCGCCCCTTTAAGCGGATCGAGGCCGGGATTGGCTGCGCGGCGGAGGTGGGGCGGTGAGCGGCGACGTCACGGCCCCGCCCCCTCGCGCTATATATTGAGGCGGCGGCGGTAGCGACGACGGCGGCCGAGTGCGAGCTTGGAGTGCGAAAGGGAGCGAGCGGCTGGCGTGGGGCGAGGCGCCTGCGCGGTGTCGGGCCCCTGAGCCCGAGGCGCTGAGACAGCCGGGACGGACATGCGCGGGAGGGCGCCGTGGGGCAGCCGCGGCTCTGCTGGGGTAAGGGGCCTATGGGCCCGGGGCGGGAAGGGCGGCGCCGCGCCCCTCGGGATTCCGGGCGCCTCCCGACGCGGGGCGGGTCCCCAGGGCAAGGAGAGGGTCTCCAGACGCGGAGTCTCCCGGGACGGAGGGAGGGGCCGGCCCGGCGCTCTGGAGACGCGCGGCTCCGGGAGCGGCGAGCCGGGTCCTGCGGCTGCGGGTTGGCGGCGGCCTCGGGCTCTTTCCTCCTCTTTCCCGGGGCTGCGCGAGTCTGGTCCGCACCGCGCGCCCGCAGACTGGGTCCGAGAGCTGCTGGGGGCCGGGGTCGGCGCGGGTTCTGACCCGTGGTCCCACTGCTTGGTCTCGGCGACGACAGTCATCCCCAGTCGGTGTTCTTAATTCATCCGAGCAGCCCGGTGCCCTCCTCCTCGTCCTCCCAGGAACGCGATTCTTTGCCAGAACGTCCTAAATACTGTCTCAAAAGGGAGAGAACTGCAGAATTGTGTTCGAAACGTGAACGCTTATTAGCTATTTCGCCTGTGTGCGTGTGTGTATTTATATGTATATCGTAGTCTTGTACAAATTAGATGACTCTTTCACCAGGATTAGTACTGTATTGGTGCTTGCAAAGTCTTTATTAGGATTTCGTCATTGCTTGAAAGAAACCAGTCTCTTACCTGATAAAAAATATGAATAGATTGTTAGTCATAAACTAAAGTGCAGTCAGAATAGAGACTGTAGCTTTAAAAGAGATGTGTTGGTGACTTTAGGTACACCTGCAACACAGGTAGGGCAAGACTGGTTTCTAGGCAACTGTCAGGGGTGAAGAAAGGTGAGGTTAAAATGCTTTTTTCCCCCCTTTTCTGGAGAACAAGTGTTCTGCAAAATTTCAAGCTTTTATAAATCTGTTAAGAATGCAGTGAGAAAGCATTTGTTGAGGAGACTGAGGCATCTGATTAAGTTCACCATACCTTGTCTTGCTTTCTTTTTTTAAACTGCATTTCTGTTTTGTTTGTTTGTTTTTCCTTTTTCTTTTCTTTTTTTAAACCTCACTGGAATTATGTAGCTGTAAGTGAAGATTTCCTTAAAGGCATTTGATACCCATTTCAGGAAATGACCAAATTTTGTTAAGACCAAAATGAAAGAAATCAGGTCCTTGTTAACAGGCTGACGGTGATTGGTTATCAGTATGTTATCAGTCAGTCAGGCTCATTTGCAGGTATTAGCCAATTTGAAGAGAACTGCAAATTGGTTATAGCGTGGAGTTCATTGCCTTCATTTCAAACACAGAGGTTTCCTTTTCAGCTGTGTGTTCTTGTGGACACTCACTGGGACTAACAATTTATAACCCAACAGATACTAGATTGTAGACTCCTGAAGGGCAGGAACCCTGCCTTGCACAGCTTCTGTCTTAGGCAGCTTTGCAGATTAGTTGATGATTGATAAATAGTTGCAGGAAAGCGTATTTTACATTTTAAAATTCAGCAGAATTGCACCAGTCACTGATAAAGCTCAGAAAGCAAATCTGCTTTTTTTCAAATGGCTGTTATGAAATGTCTGAATTATTTGTATTTTTGACAGATAGGGAGACCCGGCATTGTCATGCACTGGGTTTCCTACTTTAAGTTCACAGTGGACGCTAGTCGCTCAGTTCTGTGAGATTTAATTACAGTGTACACCTGAGTTTTTGTGTGGAAAGAGCTCTTAACTGCCGCTCCTCGGAAGCCGAACCAGGTAGTTCTTCCCTTCTGCTGGTAGTAATGGTGGCTTTTCAAAGCAAGCCACCCAAATTACAGGTGTAATCTGACATGCTGGAAGCTGACCTGAATGTCTGCATACCGTCAGGTTTCTTTAGAAAGATGAACAGAGGAGGGGAAAGGTGGTGCCAAGGGTAATTCCAGGAATTTGACTGTCACAGGCTCCCTCTAGCAGAGGCACAACTCTTGATCTAAATACAGTTGAATCGGTGCAGCAGCATCAGGATTCCTGGAGTATCCTTCGGTGCTGCTGTTTGGTCATGCATTTTAAAAGCTGGTGGATAACCCACTAGAGAAACAAAATCTCGTTGTGGCATTCTGGCATTTTCCGCACAGCATAAACACATGCTTTGTAAAGATAGATAAAATTGGTGAGTTTTGAGGGTTCTGAACCTAAGTGACTAGCTTCATACAGCAATTATTTTAAGGTAAGGGAGAATTAGCATGGGATTCAGATTTCAGAAGAGGGAAAAAAAGAGTTCTGCCATTTGGAGTCACTGCTGATACTTGAATCCAGTCCCTTGTACCATCAAGTTGGGCAATACTACCAAAAGGCCATCGAATATATTTTTTAAATATGGGGCTCTGGCTACATGAGTTAGCCCTTTTCAACTCCAGAGTGCCATGATTCCACAAAACATTACAGTCTAACAGAGGACACAGTAGGAAGGTAAGGATGAGAAGATACTGTTCCAAGAGCTCTTGTTACATAAAAGCCCCCCCAGAATATGAAACTCGACGAATCACAGGTTGTCTTTTGAAGATACTGTTCCCCCTGCATGAAATGCTATCCTCCTGAGTCTTCTCACGGCTGCATTTTCTTTATCCTTTAGATTCGCATTTGAAAAATCACGCAAGAGAAGCCTGCCTTCACTGCCTCATCCCTCCCTGTCCTCTTACTGTTCCCCATTTGGTCCCGTGGCAGTGACCACAATCTGAAACTGCGTGCCTGCCTGTTAGCTCTTTCCTCGCTAGACTGGGCCTGCCTTAGGCAGCACCATGTCCTTTTCAATGAGCGTCGTATCTAGTCAAAAAGAGTAAGCATCTGGTAGCTATTTGTGAAAATATCAGTGAAACCCTGCCCTCTTAAGAGCCCATGAGCTAAACACAGGAGCTGAGTTCAGTCTTGCTCTGCCCAGTGGACCAGCGCTCAGGTCCTGTTCTGTGTATCAGTCTTCCCACCTGTAACCAAGAGGAGGAGAGATGTGGCTGTCGCCTACAAAGCAGACACTCTAGAAAGGAGAGGTGAGGAAAGTGTAGCAAGGAAGATGCTGGACCGTGCTGACCTTTAGCAGATAGGTGGATGCTTCACCTCACTTCACTCCCTCCTCTGCAAAATGGAGGTCATGATCCCTGCCGCTTCTTACAGGGATGTTTTGGGGATCAAGTGGGATGACACGTTAGAAAGTGTTGTCATTTGTGGAACACTTTCCAAATACAAGACATTCTACATTATATTGTGGATCTTACAGTAGAGCCTGATTATAAGACTCTATTGTAATAATGCCCCACAGAGATCCAGGCTGGGAGTAGATTCAAAGGAGGCTCTCTGGGTGTATGTTGTGACCCCTTTTTATGGGTGAAGACAGACCTGCATTATTATCAAACGGATTATATGACGGCAGAGCGTCCCTGTGTCACTAAAGGTCGAGGGTCTCAAAGAACTGTTTGAGGTGGTCACAGAATAGATCCAATACCTTAATCCCCCCTCTCCTTTTAGAGGATAGATAGGACAGAACTGCAAGTAAGAACTCTTACTGGAGATTTGAGAGACTGGAGGTTAAATAGGAACTTTGATACACTAAAGGTTACCCAAGAAAAACTGTTACCAGTCAACAGAGCCCCAGGACAGTCTGTCTGAGCTCCCCGAAGACTTGGGCTCCATAGTGGCTCAGATCATCCGTCAGCGAGGTGTGTGGGAGAACCTGGCTCAAGCCTGGAACCTGGGTCCCTCAGCTCTGTGCCTCCAGTTCCTTGTCTGTAAATGAGGGTAATCACAGGCATCCAGCTCCCAGGGCTGTGGATTAAATTAGGTAATACACATAAAGCACTTAGAACAATGCCCGTCAGATAAGCATCCAGGGAACTAGTGATTATGCTTGCTGGGTTTCTGTTCACTGTAACAATCCCAGGTTACCCACTGGGTGACTTAAACGCTCGTTAAGTAAATTTGAAGTTTGAAAGACACGCTTCCCATCATTAGACTATTGTGCTCATCGTCATTAAGATTTGAATATAAATCCTGTATCTCCTACAATTGGAAACCTACCATGCACGTGTCTGAAAGGAATAATATTTTTCCCTCCCCTGTGTCTGTGTGTTCTGCTGATGCTAGCGGTGCTCGGTAGGGAAGGGACAAAGGACAAAAGCATCTGTTTCTGCCGCGGGGTGTTTCTGCTGTGTCACCGGGGCTGTGTGGGAGACGGCGGGAGTCCAGAGGCTGGCAGTGACCATGGAGTTGAATAAATAGGTTTTCCTTTGGTTTGCCATTTCTTAAAATACTTAGCTAGAAAATATTCTGAATTGCTCCTGAACTTAGGTCATCCAGCTTTGACTGTGACAGTATGAAGGTGAAATATTCTCTTGGTCGCCTTGGTTTTTACCACCTACCAATGGGCTGTTAACATACCAGGCCTGGAGTTGCAGAAGGACAAAATATGTCCATTCCCACTGCATTGGGCCACTTATGCCTTCACAGAAACCAGAGTTTCATTCCATGTTATTAACTTCATTCAACACCCTTGTAAGTCATCTGGGCATTCAGAGTGAAGCTGTTGATGCTTCCACAGAGCGGTCTGTACCTTGCAACCCCCTCTCTTCCTCCTCCCTCCGCCCCCCGCCAGATCACACCTGTTAAAATCTGAGAAACACCCTGAATTAGAGCCAGTGATTTTTGAAGAGCCTTCTGCTTTCAATAAATCAACTCAGACCACACAACACCATAGCAGATGTGAACACAGAATGTTAGGTGAGAGCAAATCAGTAAGTTTTCTCATATTCCTAATAAAAGTGAAAACCCTCTAGAACAGCCAGACTGAAGGTTCAGTGAAGATCGCTTGCTTGGCCATTAGTGCTGTAGACACTGATCACGGGAAAGATAATGAGGTTTGGTTTTGTTTTCTTTTTAACTTTCCCAAAGGTGACTATTTTAGACATTTTCAGAACGAAAGAGTAATTGGTTTCTTTGGTGGGGGGCGGGAGTGGAATCTAAAATCCTGGTATTTGTCACACTCTGAAGTCTTCCTTTTTTCTCAAATTTTGGCTCTAAATATAGTTACCTGATATCTCCCTGGATATGGAAATTGTTAGGGAGCTAATTGTTAAATGCAGCTGAGAAGACCATTTATCACCCTGAATAAACAGAAATCAGGTTCTTAAACCAGATTGAAAGAAGGAAATTACATCACACTTTTAAATAAGGAAGCACTGAGCAGAACTGGATGAGTCGTGTGACAAAAATGTGCCCCTCCCCCTCTCGTGGATTGCTTCTGAGATTTATTAATGAGATCTGTGGCCAGGTAAGCATATCTAGGTTACTGTCTTAAGGTAGCCTGGTTTTTTAAAGAACAGTATCAAAGAGGTTATCCTCAAACAAAAAGCATGTGATTTCACCTATTTAATAAAGAATGTGGAATGTGCTTTTGGGTGTACCTCCCTTTTTTTTTTTTAGGAAAATGAACTTAAATTTAGCAGCAAAAACACAGTAGGTGCCTTATAATCCAGAAGAGAAGGTGACATTGTTTCTGTTGTCAGGAAGCCCCCACCTGATTGCTTTAACCAAGCATGTAGTAACAGCCACCAGTTTGGAAAGTTACAGTGTTAACCATTTAAGCTTCTAATCTTTTTACTACCCAGTGTCAAAACCGTCCACTTCGGGTTTTGGAAATGAATTTAGTGAGCATTCCTTGCCGGCTCCATGTCCCTAGACTTGTTGTATTATAATTAAGCAGTGTCACCAAATGTTAAGTTTATCCCTTACAAATCTGTGCTTTCCCCCTTCTTCACTGATTTATATTATAAATTACATGAGTCTTTCATGTAATTTTTTTTAAAAAATGAGATGAATGTTTTCTCAGAGTCCAGTTAATAAGCACGTGTTAGAGATGAATGAGGCCAGGATCTGTTGGAGGAGGGGAGGCAGAGAGTCCTGTTGTAGAAAATCAGGATGATAGAAGGGGACTGGGGCACAGCACAGAATAATCAGGCCCTGGAGACACTTCTCTGGCTTTTCCAGAGGAAGCAGGTTCACAGAGAAGGTAGCGTGAGAAGCCGCCCTGAAGGATATATTGATTTCTAACAGCAGTTTGGGGAAAGGAGTTGCAAGAGCTTGAAAAGGGTGGACTGGGGCCTTGTTCTGGAGGCCTTCAATGGTAGGCTGAGTGGCATATATGGAGAAACCTTTGAAGGTCTTTGAGCAGCAGAAGATCTAAGCTTGAGCTTAGGCTAGGTCAGGGACAGAGATCCAGCGTGTAGGATGGATTGGGGATCTTCATAGCCAAGGCAGCTTAGGACGGAAGGAAGATAGATTTGAGAAAAACAGCATAGAGATAAGCTCTGGCCCTTGGTGATTCACCACACTTCTGCTGTGGCTCAGGATAAAAATGGTGCCTTTGGGAGACGTGTGATCTGCTTAGACTGTGAACTAGTTTGGGAAGGGAGTGTGGCAAGAGGGGTTTGGTTTGTGGAGTTCCAGATGCCAGGGGACCATCCAAGTGGAAAGGTAATCACCAGACAATAAGACATGCAAAGTGGAGGCTTGAGCCAGGGCTGGACCTGAGATTCAGGAGCTGTGGTGTGGGGTTGAAGCCCTCTCCAGGGATCAGAACTCAAGATGGGGCCCAGGTTGTTAGGGGAGAAAGTAAAGAGGCAACCTCAAGAAACAGATGTTCTTAGGGTTGTCCTTTGTTTTTCCTTGAATTAAGAAAAAAAAAAAATCAAATGATGTTACTAGGAAAAAGGAGTTCACACCTGTCATTTGTGTTGAACAGCATTTTCGACCCTAAAAGGCTAAAGATTAGTCCACGTATTTCCGAAGAGCTACCATACCCAAGACTATGGAGACCCCGGGCAGTGTGCTAGGCTGCCCAGATTGCCGTCAGGTTTCGTGTTTCTGCGTTTCATCGCCTAGTGCCATCTTGGACTTGTAGATCCTGGTTTTCCCCGGGGCGGGGGAGGGGGTATCTTTTTGCCGTTGTTTTCCTAATTAATCGTAAGGCAGAGCTCGTTTTACACATGTACGGGGACGAAATTCACAACGCAGCAGCACCAGCTTATTTCCTTGAGCTCCGCACACATTTCTTTTAACTCAGGGTTGACCAATGGATGGATCCCCCACCCCCACTCCAAGCAGTACACATATTGAATGCTCCTTGAGTTTTTTGAGAGGCATAAAAGAATTCCAGGTGGTTCCGTCCCACACCCACAGTTCATTGCCTGAGGATCACCCTGTAGAGGTTGGCTTCTGGACCCCGAGCAGGCTGCCCTCCTGGGAGTCCGCCCTGGGGAGTTATTCTCCAGAAGGAGAGAGAGAGAGCAGTGACACTGCCGCCTCGGAGCTCCCCGCGCGAGCCAGTGGGAGGTTTGGACAGTTTCATAACACAGCCCATTCACAATTCCCCATTGAAATGTAGAGGCAGGTCACCTTCGATGAATGCACAAAGACACTATTGTGGTCACAAGCGAGCTGCCTCAGTGAACACAATTCTTTTTATACTAAAAAAAAAAAAAAATTTTTTTTTTCCCCTTAAGAAAGCTAACAAGTAGGTGATAGAAACAATGACCGAAAAATAACTTTTTCTAGAACATATACAGAATGTTAAGGGACCATTGACACCGAGGGCCAGGATTCCGAGGCCATTTCAGCAGAGGCAATGGTTACACAATCACTCTGTTGAAAGCGAAGATTTAGATGGCATTAGGAGTCTGACACACAGTAATTACTGGTAGTTCTTGTTGGCCTGCAGACAGGTGGGGGCTGGGCCTGCACAGTCCCCCGCAGCACTTTCCTGTAATCTGGATGGGCGATCTTCAAACGTGTGCTTTCAAACCACTTAAATACCATATTCTTCTTCCTCTCTGGCCTTTCATTTTTCTATCACCACAGATACGCTCCCTGTCGTCCTGCCAGCGCTTGTAGATCTCTTAGGAAGAGCACTCTAAATCACCGGGCAGGGACGGAGAAGAAGTGTCTAGCAAATCTTTTTCTAAAGCTTGTCTTTAAAATTTTTTTCTTAGAGCATAAATTGAATTCAAAGGAAGTAAAAACACATTTCGCTGTGTTCCTGACCTAAAACCAACCCTGAAGAACAACAGAAAAGACCTCCCCTAAATAACTTAGATTTCTGAAATGATGGGTTCCCCCCCCCCTTTTCTTTATCTTTAGAGACTGATGAAAGATAAAGTTTGACTATTAGAAATAATGTTATATACTCTGCCTAGTATATTCAAACAGCTGACTTTGGGAGAGTAAAAAAGCTGAGAAGTGGTAACTGGGGCCCCTGGTGCTTTGTCACTAAAACAGTACTGTCTCTACATTCCTTTTTATGGAAAAAAAAATAGTAATATTTGCAGAGTGTTTTTTTAGACCCTTAACTTAAAAACAATTCTGTGCCTTACGTACTGTATACATTCAGTTGATATTGACAATACTAATAGTTTGATGGCGTTGTACAAACATACAGTCAACAAACATCTACTTAACGCAGCACCTGCTCCTGTTCAGATGGTGATAATTAATGACTGGGACACAGCTTCTTTCCTGAGCTCACAGTCTCATGGGGGTGACAGATTGGTTCCTAAAACAGAACCCTGACCCGTGTGCCGCCTCCCTCTGCTCCACACACCCATCTCTCTCACACTTGGGTTGCCCACAGTCCTCAGCGCAATATCCAGCTCTCTTAAGTTTGTGCAAACACAGTTGCCAAGAGGACGAGAAGGGATCATAAAGTGTATGTACACATCACAGAAGGGGTCATTGTAACTCAGAGGTTCGACAGGGGATGTTCTCAACTTGTTCTAAGCAGATGCGAGTATCTGAAAAGGGGGCAGACATGGGTGCTAATCATGAGTACACCTTGCCAACGAATACAGGAAACCAAAGGGAGGGGCGTCTGAGGGGAGGGGGGGCTCCAGAAACGTGGCATCCCACTGGGGTTGGAGGAGTCTGAAGAGAGGGGAATTAGGAGAAATTGCACTGACGGCCTCTGTCACCCATGCCTCGCAGCAAGGCAGCACATAAATTACTAGGCACTTCACCAGGGAGAATGCAGAGAATGCAGACATCAGTTTGCCTTTAAAAAGGAGGAGGATGCTGTCCAGGCCTCTGCCCAAAGCCAGTCATCCTGCAGAACTTGATTTTTTTACAGGAGAACGGGAGTGAGTGTCCTCTGTGCGTGAGGACTTAACTCGATTCCTGCACAAGTAGTGACTGGAGAATTTGTCTTCCCAGGGCCCATCCCCACCCTCCACCACCACCCCCCAACCCTGAAATACAGAATCTAAATAAGTGCTGGGCTTGTGGGGTCATCAGGTGACAGCTGTAGACCCTCTGCTTCATCAAAGCGTCGGGTCTTAGTGATCAGTGGTGCTGCCATATCGAACACAGTAATTCCTGAAATGACTTTCTTAGCTTGGGACAGGGTGGGGTGGGGTAGGGTGGGGTGCAGGGAGTAGGGAATGAGCTCCACGCTCAGCACAACCACACATGGGCAGGTCGGTCTGCTAGGAGACTGGAGAGACGTCTGTGTGAGGCCTCTCTGTGTGCACCTGTCTTCCCCCCACTCCCAACCCCCCAAGGTCTGCCCTGGCCGGAGACGGACTGTTTCTCATTGGCTGAAAACATCTTCGTATTTACCACATGCATGCTAAGTCGCTTCAGTCATATCCGACTCTCTGAAACCCTGTGGACTGTAGCCTGCCAGGCTCCTCAGTCCATGGGATTCTCCAGGCAAGAATACTGGAGTGGGTTGCCACTGCCTCCTCCAGGGAATCTTCCCAACCCAGGGGTTGAATCCACATCTCTTAATGTCTCCTGCATTGGCAAGGAGGTTGTTTACCACTAGTGCCACCTGGGAAGCCTGTATTTACCACCACTACCACCCTCAAAAAAAGACTTCTAATGTCTGCATTTAAGTAACCTCATGAAAAGTAAGAACTCAGTAGTGTATGACATGCTGCGGTCCATGGGGTCGCTGAGTCGGACATAACTTGGTAACTGAACGCAGCAACAGCAAATGTAAACATGACTGGGTGGAAGTTTGTAACTGGGTGTTTCTGTTCTGCAGGCCTTGAAATTCTCTCCCCTCGAGTTCCTCATGCTTTGGGATTGTTTACGCTGCTCTTAACCTCCTCTGTGCCCACCCCCCCACCCCCCACCAGGGAATGAAAGCCACTGGTTGACTGTACGCATCCCTGGGCATTGCAAGTCTGAAGACATCCCAGAATAAGACACAATGTCCATGGCAGGAGTGGCTGCTCAGGAGATCAGAGTCCCTTTAAAAACTGGATTTCTGCACGATGGCCAAGCCTTGGGGAGCCTGAAGGCCTGCTGGGGTGGCCGCAGCGAGTTTGAGAAGTAAGTGCAGGACGTGGGGCTGCCAGAGCCCCTGAGCGGGTGACGTGGGAGCAAGAGAGGGGATGTGGTTGCTACCTGTTTGTGACCCAGATGTCCGTCCTTCCCTTTCAGCAGCTTTTTAAACATCGACCCGATAACCATGGCCTACAGTCTGAACTCGCGGGCGCAGGAGCAGCTAACCTCCATCGGTACGTGTCCAGAGCGTCCTGAGAACCCGGGTGCCCTTGGCATGGGGAGAGGAGGCTGGCAGCCCCGAGGGAGGCTGTCCCCCAGTGCTGTTTTCTAAATGAGGAAGTGACCGAGGTCATTTCCGACAGGAGTCTGACCCCTAGTGGCAGCAGATTCTGAAGTCAGCGTGTTCTTGTCAGGCTCTCGGTGGCTCAGCTGGAGTCCCTGGGTCTCTTTGTGGAGGCATGAAGCCACCCCAGCCAGGAAACACTGAACTCTCTGGGACCTCGGACACGAGCTCTCTTCTTCCTTACTAGCTTCGAACACCTGTTTGAAAGTAACAGAATAGTACAGATACTGACAGAAACTTAGACGAATTTGTGTATCATCAGCCCTTCTAGTGTGAACATCACGTCCCTTAGATTTTTGCCAAGGGCTGCCTGTCACATCACGGGTGAGTCCACCAGCTCTGGGTACCTCGATGGGCTGGGTAAGACCTCGTTATCTCAGGCCTGCCCCGCGTGTCCTGGGTGGCCCATCTTGCAAATGGCCAGGTTGGTGTGGCCTGGCTCCCCAAATTACATGCTGCTCACCTTCCGTGGACTTCGTGCACGTCACAGAACCTGTCTGGGGCGTGTGGGCGTGCGCCGCGCACACGGCCAAGACGATGGAAGAGATAATTTGTTCTTTGAACCAGATCAGGTGCGTTCCCCGCCTCCAGGCCCTTGATTACACCCGCGGCAGTTGCCTGGGTGTGCTCAGCGTTCCAGCAGCTGGTGTTTCACCACGAGTGACCCAGCCGAAGGTGACAGGAATGCGGGCTGCTGGGGTGGGGTCCGGTCCCCGCCGTGGGGAGAGCACAGGCCATCCTCCATAATCTCTCGTTTCCTTCCAGGGCGCACCTCCAGATCCACCCCGATGAGCAGCAGCCACTGTGCAGAGCAATGCCCCCCTCCGAAGTCCCGCCTGCCTCCCCTCATCATCCCCCCAAGTGAAGGCTGGGGGCAGCAGGAGGAGGACCGGGTGGCATGTGGACTGAAGAAGCTGGCGGTGAACGGGGTCTGTGCTGCCACACCCCCGTTGACCCCCGTCAAGAGTCCCGTGTCCCTCTTCTCCAGCCCAGCGCCCTGCGAGCGGGGCTCCCGGCCCCTGCCGCCACTGCCCATCTCCGAGGACCCAGCCCTGGACGAGACGGACTGCGAGGTCGAGTTTCTCACCAGCTCGGACACGGACTTCCTTCTGGAAGACTGCGGGCTCTCCGACTTCAGAGCCGATGGCCCCGGCAGACGCAGCTTCCGAGGATGCGGACAGATCAACTATGCATATTTTGACACCCCAACTGTCTCCGCCGTGGATCTCAGCCAGGAACCTGACCAGGTGGCTGGGGTGCCAAGTGCCGACCCCCTTCTGCCTCAGGCCCACCGGAGACTGAGGAGGTCTCACTCAGGCCCCGCGGGGTCCTTCAACAAGCCGGCCATCAGGATCTCTAGCTCCATGCACAGGGCTTCTCCCAATTCCGACGACGACAAGCCAGAAGTTCCCCCTCGGGTCCCCATCCCTCCCCGGCCGGCCAAGCCAGACTACAGAAGGTGGTCGGCCGAGGTCACCTCCAGCACCTACAGCGATGAGGACAGGCCCCCCAAAGTCCCACCGAGAGAGCCCTTGTCCCGGAGCAACTCCCGCACCCCAAGCCCCAAAAGCCTCCCATCTTACCTCAACGGGGTCATGCCCCCCACGCAGAGCTTTGCCCCCGACCCCAAGTACGTGAGCAGCAAAGCCCTGCAGAGACAGCACAGTGAGGGGGCTGCCGGCAAGGCACCCTGCATCCTGCCCATCATTGAAAATGGGAAGAAGGTGAGCTCCACGCACTACTACCTGCTCCCTGAGAGGCCGCCCTACCTGGACAGATTCGAAAAATTTTTTAGGGAAGCAGAAGAAACACACGGGAACACCCCCGTCCACCCCATCCTGGCCCATGGCAGTATCTCTTCAGCCCCAGAAAAGCTGGACCTAAAGCCACGAGTGGACCTGGGAGGCCATGTGAAGCGCAAACATTTCTCCTATGTGGTTTCTCCTTAGACCCTGGAGTCCCAGCTCAGCGGAGGTGCCATGGGAGCGAGTGGTTCTCTCACAGTTCCCCAGACCCGTCAAGGTTCCCCGGGAAAATAGTCCAGATCACAGGCTCAGAGAGTCGAACTCTCCGTCTGAACAGGAAGGGCTTAGAGAGTCAGGAGGTGCTGAGGTGCTGAGCATCCCTGACCGTGTGAGCGTCAGAGAAGTCTGCTCAAGCCTGTCATTTAAAGATGCGATGCAGGGAGGAAGGACAAGGGACACGCATATGTGTGCACGTTAGACTCCTGCATCTACACTTGTGATAAAATCATAGATTCTAGTTGCAAGTTAACCCAGTAGTTCCTGTCTTAGAGTAATATATATTTAGAACAATAAAACTCAAGCTGGAGGATTGCTCCTGAGAGACTGAAAATTGAGCAAATGGGAGAGAATACAGTATTGTTTAGCTCAGAATCATAAAATATTATATATATATATTATTATTATTTTTTTGCATAATAAGGTTGAAGATTGCCAGCTCTGAGGCCTGTTCTGTTTTGTTTCATTTATTTTTACAAGCAGTTTTTCCATGGAGGGCAGGCCATACTTTCTTTCCGTGACTTCACTGCCTGGTTTAAGTCGTCCTGAGACCTAAATCCTGTAGGTCTTGCTGAAGGGATGGCAGCACCTTTGGTACCGTATTCTCACCTGTCCGGGTCTCATGAAAAATGGGAAGGTAACAGAATAAGTCATTTTTCCTTATCATTCCTTCTCTGTTCCACCCACCCCCAGGAAACGCAGGACATATGGGGAAAAACAGACTCTTGGCCAGTGTTGAGGATGTCAGTTGAAGCAATAATGAAGCAGTCAGCTGTTGGGTTGAGAGTATCTGTGTGGAGATGTGTGTTGTAGGTTTCTTTTCTTTTTTTTCCCTCCCCTGTTTTAGTCGCATATGAATAAACAAATACAACACAAGCTGGCCTTGTGTTGCTGGTTCCTCTTCAGTATTTCCTGGGGATTATTTGCTTCCCAAGTAAAACCCTTCTGACCAACAGCCCAGTATGTCTTAAGACCGGAGGTCACATCATCTACTTTGGAAATTCTCACGGCAGGCTGCTCTGCTCAGATCTGGTGAGACATAAAGCTTGTGTCCCACTTTCACATGCTTCGCTGTGTTTATCTTGTGTAGAGCAGCACAGAAGAGATGGTGCTCATTAACAGAAGTACCTTACTACAATGTTCTCCACATTAAACAAGCTGTTTACAGTTTAAACTGCTGAGTGATGTTATTTGAGCTATTTAAAGCTTATATTTTAGTATGAACTAAATGAAGGTTAAAACATGCTTTAGAAAAAGGCACTGATTTCTGCATTTATGTGTACAGTATTGGACAAAGGATTTTATTCATTTTTTGTTGCATTATTTTGAATATTGTCTTTTCATTTTAATAAAGTTATAATACTTATTTATGACACCGTTAATAATGTTTCTTGCCTGCACTCTTATACAATTTTGTGTCTCGAGTAATATGGCGACCACTTTTAAGCAGAAAGGAAGCTGTTTTAGAGGCTAATATACACTTGAAATTTATCATCATTCCCTAAAATGACAAATAATTTGAGTAATTTAGATTTAAGTAGTATACAGACAACAGCAAAAATGAGTTGTTTGTATTGACCTGTAACAATTAAAAGGGTCCTTTTGAATTGATGCTGGTATGTTGTCATGGAAACAGTTGCCCTGTGGGGAGGGGTGTCCCCATCAAGTGGACTGTAACAGGAAGGAAGCGGCTCTGACGTGGACGTGACATGTCTCATCTTGGGCTTGAGGACTAGGTCTGGATTGCCCTGGGTCCTTTGGAAGGCCCTGCTTTTTGCTTGACCTGAGGCCCCCAAAGGAAGTAACAGCCTGCCCCTCCTCTCAGGGTCAGTTTTGGGAAGTAGGAGGAAACGGGGATGCTGTTGGGGAGGGCGCCTTCCAGCTTCCCACGTGACAGCAAAGCTTCCGCTGACGTTGGCTGCATCCTTGCCTATACTCGGTTCCTGCCAGGGTCAAGAGTGAGGATTCAGCACAGACCATCTGGGCTGAAAGTCGAGCTCGGGCTCTTTCTAATGACCCATTGGGTGGATTCTTCAAAATCTGTACCTTGGTTTTCTCATTGGTAAAGTTAGTAGGGGGGTGAGGGTTGATACCTGCGGGAATTACCTTTGACAATTACCTGTAAACCAGTAATGCACACAGTGAGGGCCTGGTGCATGAGTTGATTTTGTGATTCTCTGTTGCTCCCCCTAAGCCCACAAGTTGGGCGTTATTTCTGGCATTTAACAAATGAAGAAATTTATTTGTTTATCAGACATTCATTGAGTAACTACATCCTTGGGACACACACCCAGGAATTTGAAGCGGTACATAATGACCATTTGTGATAAACCCTAGGAAGGTGTGAATGGTGGTGGTGACAGGATGACAAATCACCCCCTCCCCTCACTGCATCTCCCAAGGTGATAGGGTCTGAAGGGGTAGAATCTGAGCTGAAGGAGGCAGAGTGAACAGGGGGGGACAGGAGAGGAGACACTGAGGCCAGAGGAGAGCTGGGTGTTTTCCAGAAGCCAGAAGTTATACAGTGAGATGGACAATGGGAAAGGGTGGTGGGTACCACCCAGAGGTCCAAGCGGAGGATGGATGGGCGTGGGATGTGTTTTCAAAAGGCCAGTCGTATGGAGAACAGATTGGAAACAAGGAGACTTCAGGACAGACTGTCAGAACTCAGATCTGAGCGTCGGACGGTGGGAAAGAAGAAAAATTGGCTTTGAAGATAATACTTCAAGGTAGAAACAGCAGGCTGAGGACCTCAGGTGGGAGGCAGTCCCAGGTGTGTGGTCTGGGCTGCCATAAGTATCCCCCAGCTTTCTGCACTGGCCTTTCTTTGTACAGTGGTCAAGTTGTACAAGTCCTGTCTGACTTTCACAATCTCATGGTCTGAAGCCCGCCAGGCTCCTCTGTCCATGGGATTCTCCAAGCTAGAACACTGGAGTGGGTAGCGATTTCTTTCTCCAGGGAATCTTCCTAACCTAGGGATGGAGCACATGTCTCCTTCATTGGCAGGCAGATTCTTTACTGCTAAGCCACCTGGGAAGTCCACTGTGGTCAAGACAATCTTTAATTCATTGTGTATTTGCTTTCCTCTTCACCTTTGAGTTTTTCCTTGATTTTGCAAGAATATTATCTTTTTTTTGGGGGGGGTGGGGCAGGCTGCGCTGGGTCTTCATTGTGGTGTGCAGACTTCATTAGTTGCAGCACACAGGCTCAGTTGCCCTGGGACATGTGGGATCTTAGTTCCCTGACCAGGGATCGAACCTGTGTCCCTGCATTAAAAGGCGGATTCTTAACTACTGGACTCCCAGGGAAGTCCTGCAAAAATATTATCTTTTCCTATTTCTTCTTGGCCATTGCCACTAGCAACCAGAGCGCTATCCATTTGCCAACTCAGTGCTCGGCCAGCACACAGAGCAGGGCGAATGCTAAGCCCTTCCTGGCCTAGGACAGCCCTGGGCCTGCTATCTTAGTGTTGATAAGGCCATTATGTCGAGGAAATAGCCACTCTTAGCAACCACTGAACACACTGTTGAGGTCTCAAAGACAGATCATACCCAGTAACAAAGCTCTGGCTTTAAGTTAGGAAATGGAGGCACCTCTCAGCCTCCCACAATCTCTGTTCCCCATCCATGGGAGACCACGGCAGAGCAGGGCCCGGCCCTATAAAAAATAGAAGGAATTTATTATTAGGGATTGTTTCATGGTAGAAAACAGAAGCTAAGTTCAAGAGGACTCGGGTAAGTCGACCCCAAATCTGAATGATATTAAATTCAAAGTCTCTCTAGGCTGCAACAATCAAATATGCATTGCCAATCTCACAAAATTCCACATTCTAATGAAGTTTAACCTGGTTTATATGTTGCTGATTTCTCCTTAGGTCTCAAGGGCTGTCTTAACTGTGTCATGAAAAGATTAAGGGGATGTTTCTTCAATGCTAGGGCCCTGAGTCAAAACAAGAAAGTTGTCAATTTTTCTAGAGCAATTCATAGAAAATAGAACTAATTCCGCCCACTGGTTCAAGAATCAAAATGTTTATTATGCTATTCTGTATTTTAGTTCTCCCTTTTTTTGGCTGCACTTCTAGGCATACGAGATCTTATTTCCCAGATCAGAGATCAAACCCATGCCCTCTACAGTGGAAGAACGGAATCTAACTACAGGACTGCCAGGACAGTCCCAGTAATAGTTCTTAATTTCATCACATAATCTATTATTTTAGGGTACATGGAGACTTTTTCTCAAAAATAAGCTCCTGGTTATTTCATATATAGCTTTTCTTTCTTTTTGTTAACTTTCATTTTGAGATTAATTATAGATTCTAAAGTTTCAAAAACAGTACAGAGAGGTCCCCTGGACCCATTACCTAGATTCCCCAACAACAAGATATAATCATCGTCCATTATCAAAACCAGGAAAGTGAGGACTTCTGGTGGTCCAGTGGCTAGGACACTTCCACGGCAAGAGGTATGGGTTCAATTCTTGGTCGGGGAGTTCCGGGGTACGGCCAAAAATAACCCCAGGAAGCTGACTACATTGTCACAACAAGCATAATACAGTATTTTATTTAGCAATAGTTACATCAAAGTAGACTTAGGTCCTACTTTTAAAAATTAACTTAGAAATTCGTTCTGTCATTCTGTTAGGCATTTTGTGAAAAGCTAATAAAGCTTTAAAAATATGTTACCTTGTAAAAATTTCTACATTTTGGTAATGGTAGTTGAGAAGATAGAACTGACTCATGTTCATTTTGATCTGCCAAGATTTTCTGCAAGATTAATTTTCATTAACTCGAGTAAAGATATTACTTCAAACTTTGAGGATTCATGAATGATTTTTCCTTTAAAGGCCTTGAGATAGACAGAGACTTAATGTTCCATATCTTTGAATCTGAACCTGAGACAAGCCAGGAGGCACACTGTGAATTCCTAAAC